AATGTAATTTCCCAGACTGAGAATATAGAGCAATCTGAAACTGAACTTCACCAATTAAAAGACTCTTTACACTACATGCAGTCTGAAGAAATAAATAAAATTGGATTTCTAAACCAAAATCTAATGTATATTCTCAAGCAACTCCTATGAGAACTTATTATCTGAGACCAACTCCTCAAGACATTTTAAATGATGAAATCTTTTTTATTGATCAAATTGGATATGATGTTTCTTCAATATATGATTGGAATATTGATGGTATATCCGAATATTTAATTCATCAAATTTTGCATAGAATGCTAATGTATGCATCCATATGTAAGGCTAATTGCAATTTTGATCACACAACAGTTAAATTTATAACCACTGGTTTTACTAGCCAATTAAATGGCTAGTGGGATAACTATTTAAGTCCACTTCAAAGACATGAGATTTTAAATGCGGTAAAAATTATAACAGCTGAAGATGGTAGGATTACTACCCAAGAAGATGTTGTTTACACTTTAATACAAACTATCTTAAAACACTTTGCAGGATCAGGCCTGCAAAGTACCGATAAAAGTAAAGAACTTTTAATGAATCTAAGATGCCCCACTTTAACACATTTTAGCTGATATAAAGACGTATTCTTAGCAAAAGTTTTGTTAAAATTTGACGCCAATAATGAATTCTGGAAAGAAAAATTTATATCTGAATTACCTAGTCTATTTGCTGAAAAAATAAGAATTAGATTAAGACAACGTCATGGTGGATTTAAAATTCTTTATGAAAATTACATTTATGGTGAATTAATTTCTGAATGTATATCTGAAATTAATGTATAGCTAAAGAAAAATCAGCTAACAGAAGATCTTATCCTACGCCATATAACAAGCAAAATAGATTCTATAAAAGGAACCTTAATAGGGACAAAGCTATTAAAGAAGATAGTAAACCTATAAAACCTATTTAGTCATCCAAAGAAAAGCCTATCACTTGCTTTAAGTGTGGAAAAGTTGGACGAGTTGCGTCCAAATGTTTAACTAAACAAAAAATTAATGCATTAATAGTGGATGAAGATCTTAAAGATAAGATTTTAAAAATTGTTTTTAATTCTGATGGTGAAGATAATAATCCAATAGAGGAATCATCTTCTGAACAATATATTATATATGAAATAAGTAATTCTTCTTCTTCAAAAAGTGTAAAACCCCGTATTAAAATTAAATAAAAATAATATTATCTTAAGAGTTCTCCTAAGATAAATAAAATGATGGTAAAAATTTAGAATTATTATTGAAAGATTGATAATGAAATTTGAGTTTTAAGCATATTGACTTTCGGGTTAAACTTAGTTTCGAAGGTGTTTAAACTTGAGAAGGGTGGCTAAGTAATTTTATAAATATTTTTAGATTAAAATAAAGTTTTCATTGAATCCGGAATGTCGAAAAATAATAGAAGTGGTTATATGAGTTATATTAGAAGTTTAGAAGTATTTTAGAGTTAAAACCTATTTTGGATAGAATTATGGTGAAATGGAATTCGACATAACTTTTGTATTTTGGCTATAAATATTTATTCTAATTTCCGATTAACCTGAAAGTTTTCCAGTAGAAACTATACATCAAGGGCTACAAAAGTATATTTCACAAAACTTTGGTGAAACGGCCTCTAACTAGGTCAAAATTGAGTTAGAAGAAAGGTGCAGACTACTACCCGCGCCCAGACGGGAATTCTCTATTTGTTAACCTATAAATACACTAGGCCCGTGATATAAAGAATCTTTAACTAATTTTCAACCCCAAGAACCCTAGGAAAGTCGAGGAGAAAAAAAGGAGGAAGAGCATGCTAAATCTTGCAGGATTAACACGAGGTAACCGCAATACAATACGTTATGACCAAGATCTCAGGAATCAAGGTAAGGGTTTCTTCCTAAACTTGTTCATTGAGATTAAGGTTTATATATATGTATGTTTTGATTCTAAACCATATATATATGTTATGAAACCATTGTTCTTGATTTTCTTGCAAATCATAGCATGTCTTGAATAAAGTTATCGTTTTATAGCCATAAAGATTTTCGTTCTTGTTATCAAAACCCTAATTTTCAAAAAATATTAGTTTTACCCTTGAGATTCTATTGTTCTTGATTTAAAGGCTCTAGTGTTTTGTTGGAACAATAAAATTATATTTTTTGATGATCTCTTGTATATTTTCTTGAGTTGTTATGTGGGAAAAATACTTGTGGGATTATGGTTCTTGGTTTACTTGTGATTTGGTGAACTGGTTTGGTATTGTATCTCTTGTGTAGATGTTTTGATGAACATGGATGACCTATGACCGAATATCGTAGAGTGGGTAGATGCGTTTCTTATTTCAAGTGAGGTTGAAGGTTCTCTACCACTCGTAGTGAGGTTGGTGTCTTGTGAGGACCAAACTACTATTCGCTCATGGGTATCGAGGCTGAAGGCAAGTATATTATTCCTGGGTTAGATTCGTCATTGCCGATGCGTTGGTATATATCTTTCCTAAAGTTGTGTATCTTTGCGAGGATTAGGTGTGTGTGTGGGGGCCAGAATATTCTCAATGTGTGCATTCATGCGAAGTCGTACTATAGACCTGAGATACAATGTTGGTAATGTGAAGCTTGTATGGATGAAAATGTGGTAATGTTGGTTTTACTTCATTTAATTTATTGTTACTACGTAAACTTGAGATTTGATGAACTGTCACTGTTTTATTTCAAAAGTATATATGATATTTTGTAAAATAAGACCGACCTATTTTAAATGTTTGCAAAACCTAGTTCAAGCCTGGAAGGATTTTCTTACAGAGTTTAGTGCTCACCCCCTACAAATAACATCTTTTTCAAATTATGGTTTAGACGAAGAGCTCAGATTGAATGAGCAGGTTGATCTCGAGGATGGAGAAGATCAGTATGAGGATTCTGAAGTGGAGGCTTAGAGATGTAATTTTGATTATTGAATTTGGAGAGATTTTTGTGAAATAATGTTTTAGTTAGTTTAATTATTTCACTGCTAGATACTATTTGGTTTTAAATTGTAAGTTGAAGAAGTGATAGTGTTTTATTGGCTTTAGTATTTATTCTTTGTCATATGGATGAATAATTTATTATTTAATGGTTATTATAGCTGCTCTCATGATTAGATGATTTTTTAGATAGTAATGCCTTCCAAGATGGATTTTGGGGCGTTACAAAAAGTAATCAGGAACAGGATAAAGCTTGTTCATCTCACTTTCAAACTCAGAATAATTATTATAAAGTTATTTTAGATATAAATGGATTAAATATAAATATTTTGGTCTTAGAAAAAATGGAAGATAAAAGGGAGTTAAACCAAATAAAAGAAAATTTTATTCATAAAGAAAATCATTTAACTTATTTAATTTCTTACTCTTTTGAAGGTTATATTGCAGGAAAATTCCAAAAAGTTCCGAGAATGAATTCTAACCCAGATTCATTTTCCTTGGACATTATTGACAAATCTCCAGAACTTCTTGACTGTATTTGTAATTATGCAGGTGAAAATATTTTTAGCTTTACCTCTACCTGGCATAATAATTATTACAAGATCTCACTTTGGTGTCTATTGTAATGTCATGAAAGATCAATTAATTGATCAAGCGTCGTGGGAGAGAGAGAGATTGACAGTTATGGAGAATATTTAATATGGGTTTTTGTTTTTCAAAACCGATTTAGGAAATTGATATGTATTAAGACGGTTGTGGTGAGTAATAAATATGGGTTTTTGTTTTCTAAAATCAGTTTTGACAATTGCTATGTACAAAAATGGTAGTCAAGTCTTTCTACATCACTATAGCACTTTTTTAAAAAACATTTTCCACTATGGAGTTATTCTCTAATAAGTTTAATTTGGTGCACTTATGGACCATAAATTTAACCCCTTCTTCACAAACACAAATCAACTATCAATTAATGGAAGTCTCATATAGAAAAAAAAACAAATATAACATAAACTATACATATAACCCTTAAATTACAATTCTTGTGTCAATTGAGCCACTAATTTTTTTTTTGTATTAATTAAGCCCCTGAATTTTTAATTGTGTCAATTAAAGCCCTTTTGTCTACCTTTGTTAGATTTTTTAATAGAAAGTGGTGAAATGTGTCACTCATGTTGACACAAATAAATTAGAATAAATTACACATATTACCTTCAAATTATGATTTTTGTGTCAATTAAGTCCCCAATAATTTTTTTATACTAGTTGAACCCCTAAGCCTTCTGTCTTTTTGTGTCATATAGTCATGTGAGTGGCACACTAAAACGGAAGCAAACAAAGGTTTCAATTGACACAAATAAAGAGTTCAGGAGCCCAGTTGACAGTAAAAAAAAATTCAGAGGCTCAATTAACAACAAAAAAAATATTAAGGAATTAATTAATACAAAAGTCATAATTTGAGGGTCATATGTATAATTTGCTCAAACAATAATATGTAATAGTTGCCTATTAATACAATGCATTCATTTTCTTCAAACTTTTCGTAATTGTCATTTGGAGTGTTTTTAACAATTTTTCGCAAGGCTATTATTACTGCTTTGAAAAAATCCAAAATAACTACTATATATTTATCACATATACATTAATTGGGAGAGGCATTGGGCCTTCCCTCTTCATTCCCTTTTTTTCTTAGAATTTTGATCTATTTAATTACAGCACAAAAATTTTTCAAATGCCAAGTCTCATATAACCAACAGCATCTCATTCCCACAAATTAACTACCACCTTTGTAAATTGTTTTTAAAAAAAAATTATTTCTAGCACTCTATAATCTATCAAAACATGGCAATGAAAATAATGCAATTTGATATACACTTCATTAATGCAATTTCGATGTCCAACCCTACAAGTTTAACACACTGTAGCAGATTTCAATCTCAATGTCCAAACCAAACACATTTTACCAAAAAATAAAATTAAAAAAGAAAATGCACAAACATAGACTTGGCAAGTGCTACAACTTTTTTTTTTTTTTTGGAGGTTCCTTCCAAGCTGGTATATATCAGGGAGCTCAAAAATATCAACACACCGACCCCTGGAATGATTTGTCAAGACTCGTATGTACCTTCAAGAAAGCCTGTACCTCCACAACACAAATATACTTTCATTAACATCACCAGATGAAATAATAAAAATTGTTTGAGTGTGTGAAACATGAAATTTACACACAGTGAGAGACTACGAAGCATGGATACGGATACGAGATATGGGTATGATACGATACGGATACGAGATATGGGTATGATACGATACGGATACAGCGATACAACAAAGTCTAAAAAAATAGGATATGAGTTCGGTCAGGATACGGCTATAATAAAATATTTTTATTATTTTTAACCAGCTTAATACTTATATATTTTGGTAATTTTTTAACATACAATAAGAAAAATTAGTAATTCTTTTTACTATGGTATATTCACAAAGTGAAGTGACTAATTAAAATAATCAAAACTAATATTTACCAAGTATTTAGAAGTAATTTTTGTTAAAATTATAATGTAATAACTTTATTTTATACTCTTTTAACATGTAATTGTTGATAATACTTAAGAAACACTCATATGTCTTTGAAGTAATATGAATTTTTGTTAATATATTGTATGGTTTGTGAATTCGAAAAGAGATGTTAAAAATTCAACTCAAAAATTATATATGTTGCTCGACTACAAAAGTATCTATAAAGTATCTTAATATTTAATTACTATCGAATACATAACAGGTATATCCGATACGCCAACCTCAACGAAGTATCCATACTTCATAGGTGAGAGATTAATTTAGACATTAACATCACCCGAATGAGAAAAAAAACAAGATAGAACACATCGACAAAAAATGGATTGAGAGTTGTTTAAGTGGGTGTTAGTATTGACCAGTGTGTAGCATGATTTTTCTTTGAATGACAATGAACCAAAAACATAAACGCAAATAAACATAAGATATCTGAGGAAAGAAATATAAGAGAATATAACAGCAGTATGGAATTGAATACAGAAGGAAAAATGGCCTTCATAGTTTTTTATAAAGATAAAAAAGTGAATTAAAAGTTTTTCATATTATGATACTTGCTTATAGAAAGAAAGATATAGATGTTAGTTAGTTTACGTCATGGTTAAGTATTCGAGTGCAAATCCTACAACCATAACTGGTTCCTGCATTGCCCATGAAAATAATTGACTCGATGGTAGTAGTTCTGTCAATTGGGGTAGTAGGATCTAGACATAGTGGTCAAGGTTGAAGGATCCATACTTTTAATTAACTAGGAACTTGCATACATATACAACTAAAAGATGGCATAAATACTCGCACAGACATACCTTTTCTTTAGGAGGAGCGAGTGCTGCTCATTATTAACTTGAATATCCTTGCTGCTATTGAAGTCGGAAACAGAGGTCCTAAACAATGGGCAATCATGCAGGTGCAGATGTTCCAAGGAAGGGCATTCAATAGTACCATTTCCAGGGTAGAAACTTGTGAGGCATGGAAGATTTTGCAGTAACAAATTCTTCAGTTTTGGGAAAATAATTTTGTCAGCTTCAATAACCTCATCCATTCCAATTATTCCCTCCAATGCAGAGCAATCTTGTACCCAGACGTCTTCTAGTTGCACGAGAAACATAGCCACAGTCCACTTGAAGAGATTTCTCAATTTCTTGCATTTGATCACTGTCAAGATTTGGAGGTTCTGAAAGATAGCAAGGTGAGGGCCATTCCAAATTTTCGTGAGTTCAGGCAGATTGTCCAATTTTAGTTCTCTAAGTTTTTGCAAGACAATTTGTCCTCCTTCTATTCCTTCAGATGGAAATATATCTTTTAATGAATTGGTACTTAAACTAATAACTTCCAGATTTTGTAGTCTTTGCAACAAATTAGATGGCAGCAGTACATCCATCAAGTCAATACACTGTTGAATTTCCAAGAACTTCAGCTTACCCAATGACCCAGGTGGTAGTTGGCCAACACATATCTGTTTCAAGTAATCCATATTGTAGACACGCAACTCCTCCAGGTTCTCAAACACAGGTTGGTTTGGATCACAATTTGATGAATTCATGAGACATTGTATTTGATAACATTGTTGGATTACTAGAGACTTCAGGCCAGTCAACCTTCCTTGATCATATTCAGCAAGCATGTTATCTAAACCCCTGCATTCTATNACATTGCTGGATTATTAGAGACTTCAGGCCAGTCAACCTTCCTTGATCATATTCAGCAAGCATGTTATCTAAACCCCTGCAATCTGTGTAAAGTAGTTTCTCAGCTTTCTTAGTCACCACTTTGTTAAACCAATCTGGCAAGGTGTTGATGGTTGTATCAAGGACCAAGACTGTCGAATGGACTGCACCATATTTTGATAAGTTTACATTCAAGATCCTGTTGAATGGGTTTCTGCTGACACATATATCAAATTTTTCCCATTTTGGATCAAAGATTACATTCATAGGCACACAATCAACATCCGGTATGTCAACTTTTAAAATGGAAAGGTGAGGTAAGCATGTTAGCTCATCGAAACGAGCATTAATTCCTCCTTCTGTTCCTTCAACCACCTGCCCCCAATCTCCAAAACTAGCTTGCATATATAGTTCTTCTAAGTGTGACAGGCTTGATAACAATTTGGGTGGAATCCTTCTAATATAGNGTTCTTCTAAGCGTGACAGGCCTGATATCAATTTGGGTGGAATCCTTCTAATATTGTTACTCAAAGTGAAATCCAACATCCTCAGATTGACTAGTTGTCCTATTTCTCCTGGCAACTCCTCAATGCAAGTTTCTCTGAAACTAAGTATCTCGAGCTTCTTCAGTTCTCCAATTATGGACATCTCTGTTATTGACTGACAACGATCTAGACATAGTGTCCGAAGGTTAGTTACGAGTCCAAGTGACGAGGGCAGAGATGTCATATCAACACCACTTAAGTCCAACACTCTCAGTGATTTCAACTCCTTAAAGAAGTTATCAGGAATCTCTTGTATGTCACTATTATTTTGCAATAATAGAAGTTGGAGTTTTGGGCATACCATGCCATCAGGTAGCTTCCTTATTTCATTTGACATTAGCGAGATAGATGTGTAATCTTCATAAGTATCCTTCTTAGGCCACAACTCTGAACGCATACCAGCTTCGACCATAATAGCTTGCTCATAATTGGATGCTGCTATTCGTATGCCCACATCCCGGACAACATCATGCATCTTTACCCATCCCTGTTGGTCGCCTTCTAACAACAAACTTGAAGCTTTGAGGTGTTTGGCCACAGATCGTGCTCTGGCTCTTGCTTTTTCTATTGAGGTGGCATCTTGAAACAACCCTCGGCCTATCCCATACTTCACCAAATCTTCCACATTAATGCTAGCATCTTCCGGGAAAAGGCAACAAATCAATAAGAATGACTTGGCACCATCACTTCTTAAATAATCGAAGCTGAACTTTATACATCTTAACACCCCATCATCATCATCAAAGTTTGCAGGCTTAGACATTTCGAGTTGGTTAGCAGCTTCTTTCCATTCTTCCAGGTCTTTGTCCCCCACAGCCCTTGCAACCACGACGAGTGCAATGGGGAGTCCTCCACATTCTTTACAAATCTTCCTCGCTACAACTTGGAAATCTGGGGAGTCAACAACCACTCCTGCTTTATTTCTAAACAAGGTCCACGAATCCTCTTCAGATAGGACGTTTAGAGGTATATTCACCTTGCTATCCATTGCATAGCAGACATTTGCAAGTCTTGTAGTGAGTAAGACTTTGGATTTGCAAGCCCCAAGTTCGCTGCCACTCGGAATTCCAATATTAGATAACTCTATCCTACTCCAAATGTCATCCAGGATTATCAGGATTTTACTTCCTCTCATTATCCTCTCCTTCAACCTACCTGCTCTCCCAGATTCACTCTCTTCAACTAGTCTCAAGTCCAACTTATCTGCAAGTTCGCCCTGTATTTTTCTTAAATTCGGGTTTTGGGTCACCACAGCCATTATTGCAAGATCAAATAGCCCATCCTGATGGACTTGAACACCCACTTGTTTCACCAGGGTGGTTTTCCCCACACCTCCCATCCCATAAACCCCCACAATATTGACATTGTCATCCTTCAGTGTTTGCATGACCTCATTCATCGCCCACTTCGTCACTTCAAATACATTGAAATCTCCACTGGCCTGCGTAGATTCAATTTGAATTGGCCCTCTTACACCGAGAGAAACCACATTGAAACTTCTTCCTGCACCCTCGAGCTCACCAATAGTTTCTGTATTCTTCAGCGCTTGCTTGCTGACCTTGTAACGCCATTTTAGATCAGGACACCACCCACTAATGCACTTCTTATCAACCTCGACTTCCTCATTCAGTCTTTCTACATTCATTATCATCTCATCACAACTTTTCATCCATTTTTGAACCTCACCTTTGATTTCTTCTCCACTAATTTCGGCTTCATGGACCAATTTTTTTTTGTCATCTATAAGACTCTTAAAATTTTCGACATGATCTTTAAGAGACTCAATGTTCCTTCTTTTTTTAACCAGATAACCCATCTCACGCTTAACTGGTTTCCACAAAATCTCCCCAATTTTGACAACCAAATTAGCAATCCCCGTAGCCATTGCTGATCTTTTGTTTTTGTTTTTTCCCTCCCCTCTAAATTTCCACAATTTAAGGCAATACAACAGAAATTTTGAAGAAAAAAAGGAGACAAATTAGTTGAATAATGAAGTAAATTAGGAGGATTTTTCTGTAACGTGACTAACCTTAAAGCTTAGCAGGCAACATCTATAACCATTGATAAGCTTAGGATCTTGTTCTGATTCTGTGAATTGACTAGACTGAGTCGAAATTTTTCCGTGGGAAGTACACACCACTTGGAGAAGAGTAGAATCTTTTTTTGGATAAGTGATAAGAGTTGAATTTGGCACAGACAAGGCGACAAGATCAAGCACTCGAACAGCGGAACACGACACCACAGATCTAGATCTCGAACACCAGATCTTGAACACCAGACTTACTCCTCTATGTCTTCTTCGTCTTCTCCAGATCGAGCTCTCGAACATCGGCACACGACACAGATCATCTCGAACACCAGATCTCGAAGTCTCCAACATCAGACTTCTTGTTCTCCTCTCTCTCTCTCTCCACGCAGACACACACGCATAGTTGGTAATGGAGTCAATGATGCTGGTCTTTTTCTTTTTCTCTCTCTCTGGCGTTGTCTACACGCGGACACGCACGGATGGAGCTCCTCTGCTGTTGTGGTCTAACAGCAAAGTTTGCTGTTAAATGGAACGGCGCCGTTTTGGCAAAGACTGCAGCACCTAGTAAAGACACAAAACGACGTCGTCGAATTTGTGCTCATTTCAGCCCGCTACGACGTCGTCTTCCAGCTTCTTCCACCTGAGAGGGAAGGGGTGCTGATTCTGATGACTCTATCGAACAAGATGGCATTGGCCACGGCTTCTCCATTCCTCACTTCACTGTGTTCCGCTATCGTACACACCCCTCACCGCAACGTCGTCACCATGAACGACGGTGACAATCCTAATTAGTTGGAAGAATTTTTCTAGAAAAAGAGGGCTCTCCGATCCAAAATTCTCAAAGAGCTTGCCAACGTGAGCCCATTACACAGAGCTCAAGAAGGTTTTTGTGCGTGCAAGATCTTGCACAATATAAAAAACGAGAACAGATCTCTCCCTTGGTGAACTCGAGTGAGCCGGTTGAGTGACCAAACACGCTGCTTGGAATAGCCTGCAAGGTCCGGTGGTAACCTGGAACGGCAACGGGAGACCCTGGGGGAACGGAAGAACGATCCAGTAAGGCTGAAAGAGATTCCTGGAACAAAGAAGAACAAGTTAGAAGGGCGCCGGAGTGTTTTCCGGCGTATCCCCTCCGACGATCTAGTTAGTCTTTTAGAAAGAGAGAGGAAGGAGAAAACACTGAGTGAGTATTGTAGTAAAGAGTTTTTTGTTGTATACCCGTCTTGCCTTTTGCAAGGAGTATTTATACCTCAAAAGCTCATGATTGCTGTCAGTGTAGTCAGTAGGTGATCATTAGGTACAGGCAGTGTGCGCACTGATTCTGATGAGGAATGTCTTCTCTTCTTAACTGCTCGGGGTCCCGAGCAATCAATGCTGGGTCATCGGGATGCCGACGGTACAATGTACTCCTCTCGGGGAGGATGCAATAAATG